GTGCTAGGAAAAATTTTAGGTATGCCTAAACAAATATTGAGCGCTTAGACTTCTTTCCAATTTGTGCAGATTTTGAAGTACTAGGAGTACCAATGATCGGAACTAAACCAAGTTAGTATGAGACGACCCTTGATGTCCCACCTTCCCAATAAAGAATTATCGAAAACAGTTCACGTGGTCCAAAGTTATCCAGTAGACATAAATAAAAAAATAAAATATATCGATATTTGATAGCCTCCTCCTTTTTTGAGTCGGTTAATTAAAAAAAAATATCCGAATTTTTAGAAAACTTTAGGGTATGCAGATTTATATTTTATAGCCAATTCAATTTTAGTACAATATAGTGCAAGTTTGAAGTAGTTCAAAATCCTGTTGATTTTTGAGAATTTTTTTCGTTGACTTTGCTGCGCTTTTCAATACGCATATCACAAATTGGAGGAGAAGTCTAAGAGCCAAATATTTGTTTAGGCATAGCTAAAATTTTTCCTAGCATTCTGAATAAAAAGTATAAAAGTATGATTTGTATGTTTTTTATTGTAGTCTTAATAAAAAATATGATTTGTATGTTTTTTATTGTAGAATTAACATACTTTTATAAAAAAAAACCGTTATTAAAATTATATAAAACAAAATTAAAGTACCACAATTTGTAAATACTTCACGTTGCTATATTCATGAAAACTGCTGTATAAGAGCCTAGGAACCCCTGGTCGTTTTTTCGTTTCTGGCCAATGACTGTCCGGACTGTCAATCCAGCAGTATTCCGCAAAACTCTTTAGATTTTTTTCTATTTCAACACAAATACAATCTTGCGTTTGCACATGTCCTCACTTTGGCATTGGTATTCACAATTCACTGTAGCCTTTATTTTTCCCTCAATTTTTTTAATTTTTATGAAAGCTAATAAAATGTGTAAGAGACCTGTTGAACCCGATTTTTAGATTTTTTTTTTTTGTTTGTATTAAATTTTGTAGTGTAAAGTACAGAAAAAGTAATAAATTTTACATAATCAAAAGGAAAAAAATTTCACAAAAATTTTAAATGTTATAAAAAAAAATGTTGCCAAAATTGAAAAACCTTTTTGATTTTCTAGAAAAATGTTAGGTACGCGGTTTTATAGATCTTTAAATTTTGTATAATAAAGTACAATTTGCAAGCGGGTAAGAGGTCGCGTTGATGTTTAATAATTTTTTTCGTTATCACTTCGAGCACAACTGCTTGCTAAATAGGAAATAAAAGCGTTGTTATAAATATTATTAAAAATCAGCACGAACTATTAGCCGGTTGCAACTTGCACTTTGGTACACTAAAATTTAATGATGTGTGAAACTGCATACTTAAATATTTTATAAAAGCAAAAAAAAAATTGGTAACTTTTTTTACATTTCAAATTTTTTCGCTTTGGGAGAACCCTACAATTGTTTTATTATGTAAAATTTATTAAATGAAACGGGAGAATCGATCCTCAAAATTCATANACGCAGAACGGGAACTGACCCTCTGATGACAGTACGAATGGAAATTATAATAGCGAAGTTTTAGTTTTTTTAACTATAATTTTATTCTCTTAAGCGATAAGTGTTCTCATGAAAATAGATTGACGAAGTTGTAGATCAGTGATGTCGTCCATTGACCAATATCTTTCAGCCGGTTAGCTCCGCAACTCTACTTCGGTTAGATGTAATACATACATGTAGCGTATCGATGGCTGAGTGGAAGATCGACCTATCTCGGCAGCCAGTTCGAAAACGCTCTATCTCAAAAAACTTTTCAAGAACGCCCTATTTCAGAATTTAATTGAACAACACCCTATCTTAAAATTCGGTTCAAAAATGCCCTATCTCACTTCAAAATGTATAGCAAATATGCTGATATAGGGCGTTTTTGAATCGGCAGCTGAGATAGGGCGTTTTTGAAACGAATTCTGATATAGGGTATTCTTGAAAAGTTTTTTGAGATAGAGCGTTTTCGAACTGACTGCCGAGATAGAGAGGTAGAAATTTTTACGAAACTGTAGATTTTTTTTTGGATTTACGCGGGTTTTTGCTAAAGAATGAACTATATTTTTATAAAGAACCAAATAATACACAATAATATTTAAAATTAAATGGCATTAATTATTTCGGCCACTGTGTGATTTTCGATCCATCGCATAATAGGTTACTAACACTTTCCCTGTACAAAATTAAATATTGCCTCTTCTCCAGTCCGCTATTCAGCCTCATTGCGTAAGTCGTAAATTAGGCTCAATTGTACGACTCGACAATATTGGCATTGTATACAGCCGTGCTGAAATAAGTAAACGACGAAAATCGTCGTAAACTATACAGTGCTGCCAAGTTTTCCCACTTTAATACACTAATCGAGTGGAAATTTTAGGCAATGGCGTGAAACTTAAGATACGATTCGACTCTCGAAAAACGACTTGCATTCGACACGGCTCTCGCAATGAGGGCGATTATCTGACTTTGTCAGTATATTCCAGGCAAATGCGCTAAGAATTGGAGTCGGCCTACATGTGTACTACTTTTGGAGATATAGGTTTTTTTTTGTCCGATCAACAAGCGCTGAGAGGAAACCAAAATATGTGCAAACGCAAGGATGTTGTTGTCGTTGTAATAGTATACAAATTTCTCAAAAATTTTGGAGAATACTGCTGCATTGACATACCACGCAGCCCTTGGAAAGAAAATAAAATTTTAGTGCAGTGTTGGTCATGAGTGTAAAGGAGCACGCGTTATATGCGTGGCGCTAGTTAGTTACTGGGTCAGCGATATTACTAGCAACCTATGGATTTGCTCTAGCACCGTAAACATGGAGTTCATAAGTTTCATTTTCCCCGAAGCGGTTCACTTTTCACTTTTGGTTCCATGGATTTACTATGGGTGGAATAAAAATTTTCGGGTGAAAACCAGGATAAGGTAGATAGTTTTCATGAGTATTTCTATGAAAAAAAAACGTGTCTTTGATTTGTGAATGCCTGTCGAGAAGGGACAGCTAAGGATTGTAATTTTAATTTTTCTAGAAAAAATATTTTTTTTAGCTTCCTTCAACCGCCAGTTAAATCCTACTTATGTACTTTATATGTATTTTACAGATACTTACAATGGTGGGCACAAATGGCGGTTTCACCTTGCGCAGCAATAAATCATCCCAACTGATAGAGCGGAAGAACGCTTGCTTCTTGACGTCTTCAGCATCGCGCTCTGATGAACCTAATCTACGTTCTGGATTCTTACGCAGTAACTGAAATGTAAATAATTATTTATTTATTTTAAGTATAAAAAAACAGTCATAAAAATAAAGCGATTAAAATTACCCGACGCATGATTGCAATGGCCTCAAGTGATAAAAATCGCGGATAGCGCACTTCATCGTTAACAATTGAGTCGAAAACTTCCTCCTCATCGTCACCCGGGAATGGTGACTGTGAATGGAAATGATTTCAATTATTTTCCTACCAAAAAATAGAGGAATTCGCGTTAACTTACCTCGCCTACAAGCATTTCGAATATCAAAACTCCCAAACCCCACCAGTCCACAGCGCGCGTATATGATGTTTCTGTGAGAACTTCGGGCGCCAAAAATTCGGGCGTCCCGCAAAAGGTGCCCGTTCGATCGCCGAAGCCCATACCCTCCTTGCACAAGCCGAAATCAGCGATTTTTACATAACCTGCAAAGAAAGGAGTTTTTTTTTTAATTTGCAAGACCGAAATAAGAAAAGAAAATCTTCTTTGCATACCATCTGTGTCCAAAAGTAGATTATCGAGCTTCAAATCACGATAAATAATTTTGTTTTCATGCAAATACTGCAGACCCAACACCACGCAAGCGGCGTAGAATACAGCGCGCGGCTCTGAAAATACATCTGTATGTATGTGCATCATCAGATCGCCACCAGCCGCATACTCCATAACAAAGCAAACGTGTTGCTGTAATGGAAATGAAATGAAATGAAATTTAGTCGAATGTAAGACATTTCAAGGAGAGAAAAGGAATGAGAAACCAAAAGTGTTCAAGTGCTACTCACATCGGTCTGGAAACACGCAAACAAATTGACCAGAAATGGATGACGCATCGCATTGGCTACTTCGAAAATGCGCTTCTCGCTCAACAACGATTCGACTTCGTCACGTGCTATGATGTCGCCCTTTTTCAGCGCTTTGATGGCAAAGTACTGATTATTGCTACGCAATTGTGACAGTATAACCTTGCCAAAGTGGCCGCGTCCCAAAACGCTGAGCAGCCGGAAGTTCTCAATTGCCAGCATACCGGGTGGCCCGTTTCCGCCACCGATTGCCTGTGACTGGCGGCGTGATTCGTATGCCGAGTCGCGATATTGCAAACCGCGTGCAACATTGCGACGACCACCGCCAGCCGTTGCAGCGTTTGGTGGCGGCATAGGGACAGCATTGAGTTCGTACTGATTCTGGTAGATGGGCTGTTGCTGCTGTTGTTGTTGTTGCTGGTAGACTGTGGCTGTAGGTGCTGCATAGTTTTGGCGCTGTGCCGCCTGTGGGAAATGAGGACCTTGCCCAGCCGACTGTCCGTAGACTGTAGGTGTGGGCGGCTCTTGGATGATCGGCGAATCTGGTACATATTGTTTCTGTTGCTGGTTGTTGTTGCTGCTGACCGATAAATTTCCAAATTGTGGTATAATCTAAAATATGCAATATCTGATTAGAGTCGGTTTTCAATAAGCATAGTGCGTTTTAAACTTATATAAATATATGTAATTTTTGTAACGTGTTTTCATTCGAAAATTCCCTGAAATAGCACGGCATTTTCAAAGCTTGTTTACAGCAGCAGATTATTAATAAATAGCATTGCTTGTTAAGGAAATTATTGAACTAAAAAACGTTGAAACACAACACTGAAACTAATGCTTAAGGCTAAGCCTCCTATCTGTGAGTGTCCTGCTAAAATAGCACGTTTACACNCTTGTTTACAGCAGCAGATTATTAATAAATAGCATTGCTTGTTAAGGAAAATATTGAACAAAAAAACGTTGAAACACAACACTGAAACTAATGCTTAAGGCTAAGCCGCCTCCTATCTGTGAGTGTCCTGCTGAAATAGCACGTTTACGGAGCGCTTCTATCCAACAGACTAATTTGATATAAACACTCCTTTTCAGTGCTTGCTGTTTAACTTATAAAGCGGGGAATTATATAAGCAACGAATATCTTCAAAAGTATATAGTGTATACCTAAGTAAAATACATACATTATTTTAATATAAACAATTTAGAAACCTTTATACAGACTTAAGACTGCCATTGAATATCAACAAAGCTATGGGTGATGCATTCAATTTCTCTCTTATCTTGAAGCAACTATATTGGGAATAATAACTGCTTTTTAACGGATGCGGTTCGATTAAAAACAAATATTTGCAAAGTAGCAGCAAAGCTTTAAAATTTTGAAAAGCTAGTCAATGGTAGCCGAAGACTCCAGGGGCACTCTTTCTTTTGAACAAATTGGATTTGCTTTTTTCGGACAGTACGGCCCGCTGTGTTAGAACTCTGGTTTCGCATAGAAATTTCACTATGGAAGTCACAAGCAGGGGAACGCGTAAAAGAAAGTTCAAGTTTGACATAAAAAACTGTGGACTGTAATGTGATAGAAAACAAGAAATCGACAGTTCATGAGGTGGTCGATTTATAATAATGGTGTATTACAAAGTATCTATACATATAAAAAAAATTGTAACAGGACGATGTCTGTATATTATAATAGATATTAAAGAAAAATTAATATGGGGAGTCTTCATTAGAGCAACAGAAGCCAAATCAACCATTTTTTAGAATTCTGGTCTGTCTGTCTGTACGTTTGTACGCGCATCACTCCAAAACTAATATATGAAATCGAATGCAGTTTTCACCTATGTATTGCTACAGGTCAAAGTTAAAATATAGAGGAAAAAAATTAAAGAGTTGCCGCCTGTTTGAAAATTGCAGTTTAAGCAAATAGATACGACAAACAAGACCGATAAAATACAAGATTGCGCTGATTGATGTGAAATTCGGGAGAGTAAGGCACTCCGCACATTAAGCTCCTAATCACAGTAGTGTAATCGTTTCGGCGTACTAAAGTATAAAGCTTTTATGCCGAACCCATGTATTTCAATGAAGCTCTGTAGATTACGATTCGAAATCATGTTTGCGCCTAATCATAAAAGCTTCATGAATCGATGCGCCCAACATTGTAAGGCGCTAGCAGTTTTGAAATCGTCATTTGTTTACTTTTTTGTGTTGGAAATAAAATTTATTTGTCAATTCAATAGAAAATAAATGGAAATGAACGATTTCGTACTAAAATTCGTGCAAATTGCATTAAACCCCAAGCGTTTATGCAATATTTCGGACCAGAAATATTTGCGGAAGTGCGTGTTGCGAAAGAACGGCCAAAAAATTTGTTATGTGTAGAAAGTGTTTATTAGCTGATGACCTATGCAGGGCGTGCAAGTGTGTCGAGTCGTCATGCATTCGTTTCGGTATGATGAAACGATTACTCTGCTTTGATTAGGCGCGCAATGTGCCGAGTGCCTAACGTGAATATGACGTCATTGCAGATTTGCCGGTGGAGAGAGCTGAGAGAGGTTTCTCAGTATGTATATGTTTTGAATATGTATATATATTATATAAAATCAGATATGACGTCACACTTCTGTCAATATTTTGAAGAGAGAGTTGTGCGACAAAGTATATATTGGAATATGGCTGTCAAAAGAAAGAGGTTTAAGAAGGCTTACAACTGGAAATATTTTTGTGGAAGGTTGTCACCTGTTTGAAAATTTTAATTTAATTTAATTGATAAGATAAATTAAATATTGCAATATGGGTATCAAACTTGGTGGGTTAGGAAATTTTACTTCCGAATATATTTTTGGGCTACCACCTGTTCGAAAAATTTTATTCATTAAAATTTATCAAATAAATTAAATATTACAATACGTGTATTAAACAAAAGTTTAAAAAAGTTTAAAGGGAATGTGAAAAATCGCGTCGACAAAAGTTTCCGTGTATAAACACATTCTAGCTGAACACTTTTAGATCTCAACACTTAACAAACTCCTGCCTATCGTGACTTGGCGCAAAAATTTAAAACAATAGTTCCGTACGTCATGCGGACTGCGCCCCTCGTGCGGATGGGTGGGAAGGGAGGGTAAAACCGTTGGGATTATTATTGAACCCCCACGCCCATCACACCACTAACAGTGCCGTTTAAAAGTCATCACTTTACCTGTACTGAATTTTCTATTGCACTTTTCGTTTCTAATTTATCACTTTCAGTTTTATACGACAATTCCGTCACTGCGACTGATTCAATGCAATCGCTCGATTCTATGCAATCGCTCAGACTCTTCGTTTCAAGTTCGATTTCAGTTTCAATTTCAATATCAGACAATGTTGCTGATGTTGTTGTTGTTGGCGAAATGGCGATCTCATTACATTTATCGGCAGAGTGTACGATCGTGGTTGTTGTCGGAAGTGTTGTTGTTGTTGTTAAAGGTTCAATTGTTATATGGACAACATTGATATGCGCCTGCGAATTGTATAAATACAACAAGATACAAAGGGCGAAAGAAAAATAGAAAGCGAAATGTTGGTTTTGGTTTTTTTTTCTATTTTTGCTATTAAATCTTGCATGAAATATGCGAAATTATACAATGTTGTTGGTGCACACAAAGTAGCATACATATACATACATAGGTACATATGTATGTATACAAATGAAGAAGATGTACAGACATTGATGGCTGTGAAGAGATGACTTTTGCCCAAACGAAACAAAAATATTAAATGGCAGAGAACAAACACGAGGAGAAATGACCACAAAATGAAAAACAAATAAGAACATAGTATTAGCAAACATATAGACCGCTTAAAAAAAATTATGCACCACTAGACTATTTATGTATGTATGTATTTATATTAGCATGTTTGTATTTTATTTTTCTTTTGGTTCTATTTATGTATGTAACACCCTTTTTAGCACTTACAAATATACACATTTTATATAGTCTAATTATGTTTCTGTGCACTAAATTTTAAGTAAATAATGCCTGCAGTAGAGCCGGTGGTGCGCTAGCTGCATAGAGTGTTGGGCAAAGGAGAGCGGCCGCTGATGACAATGCAGAGCGTTTGAACTTCAAGAATTTGTTATTCGATTTGGTGTTGCATTGGTGGTACTGTTGCAATTGAGAGGTGCAAAGCTGTTTAACGACGCCGGCGAGCAATTGAAATGTCGGTAACATATCCAGCAAACCACCAATGACACACACACGCACACTAATGACGATACATGGGTTAGCTAAAGACGCTACGAATAGGCCACGGCACTTAATAAAAGCAAAAATAAAAACATTAAAGTAGGCGATAATTGTACGAAAATTTCACTGTAAAAGCGCGTAACACGCAAACACGTATTGTTAACGGCCGTGATCTTGAAACACTGAACAACAGAGCGCACGGAAAATGTCACCATCGATGGCTGGCTCTCAACATCGTTCATATGTGACGGTAAAATTATGACAGCCGTAAGGTGGGAAAAATAAAGATTAAGGGCCTGTGCCAATTGATAGAAAAGTTCTCTGGATAGTAAATTTTTGACAGCTATGAGGTGAATAAAAATGTTTGATACGGCAGGGCTAGTGAAAAATTTGACAGCAAGAATTATCAAGAAGAAGAACGAACAACGCACGTATACACATAGGCTGCATTTCTTTATTCATTCTGAACGTTTGGAATAAACTTTTTTTGTTTATTTATTCTTTAGAACGTTCCTGATGATATGTTGACGTATATTTCAAACGCATTCTGTTTATTCCGGCTGTGAAATGGGATTATCCGGAATGTATAAAGAAACGCAGCCATAAATTAAAGAAAACAAAAGCGAGTGGAAATAAAAGAACATGGTCCCGCCGGCAAAAAAAAATTAAGAAAAGCTATAGGTATAACTTGTAAGATTTAATTTCAGATTTACATATGAAAAGGCGTTATGTATTTTTTTAATTAAAAATACTATTTTACAGGGAGCAGTTCAGAACGCAGAATCCTTCTGGAAAGGCGTATTGACAAGGATATTTGGTTCAGCTCAAAGAACGCCAACAGCAACGAAGGCTGGAAGTGAGTAAGAACAATATAAATAATTTGAAGACTTTATTAAGAAGTTTTTTCTTAGAAAAATCGCGAATGAGCTGAAGGATCGCCTGGACGGTAAAAGTGCTGAAGCATGTAAAGCACAATGGAATGCGTTGATGAACCATCCGTGGCGCTCTTTGGGAATGTGAGTTACAATTTTTCGAAACGAAGCAGAGGACAACCTAAGATGCATTTTTGTAGTCTTGTTATCGCCGTTAATAATGCTTCTTAGTATTTGGAATAAACGTCTTGTTGCATGTACATAAACGACATATG